GCCTTGGCTGCTTTTTAGTTTTTTCTTTCATGATGATACTAGACAGCCTGTGCAGTGTGGCTGGTCTAAGCATTGCAAATTAAACACGCAGCCATTTCTTAAGTATGTTTCTCGTCTAACTCAATTTACTAGAGTTCGTTAAAACTACATGGAAAACACCCTTTTGATCATTGGTAGAGAGGCCTATCTTTAGACATTATTTGCACAAAGTGACATTATTTCCACCATGACCTTTCTAAGATCCACTCATACACCATTGCATGCCTTGGCTGCTTTTTAGTTTTTTCTTTCATGATGATACTAGACAGCCTGTGCAGTGTGGCTGGTCTAAGCATTGCAAATTAAACACGCAGCCATTTCTTAAGTATGTTTCTCGTCTAACTCAATTTACTAGAGTTCGTTAAAACTACATGGAAAACACCCTTTTGATCATTGGTAGAGAGGCCTATCTTTAGACATTATCTTAAGTGTCCTGTACCCGGGGTGTGCGTGGAAGCGTTGTCGTTTTGCAAAAGCGATGTCCCATGTAGTCACAAACGGGTTGTTCATATTGACAAATGTGGAGGTGCAAGAATTTGGAAGTTTTGCAAGTGATAATGAGCTTATTGCAAAAGAAGGGGACTAAGCGTAATAATTCCAAATTCTTTTGCAATAAGCTCATTATCACTTGCAAAACTTTCAAATTCTTGCACCTCCACATTTGTCAATATGAACAACCCGTTTGTGACTACATGGGACATCGCTTTTGCAAAACGACAACGCTTCCCACGCACACCCCGGGTACAGGACACTTCAGGCTAGCATCATTCGGTACAAATAACAGGATCACTTGCCACAAATTCTTTAATCCGCGTGTGGGTCTCTTCCAAAAAAAATCCATATAGGATGAAGTTATTTTTCCCTCCCGACTCATTGGAGAGATCTCAAAAATGTCAGAAAAAGAACGATATTCTAGTTCTCTATACTTCTTAAAGCGGTTCACTGCATTACCAATAGTCTCATCCTCAGTACTTATGGGACTACGAGGAATACCTTGATCAAATCCCAATTGACGTGCAACTCGCATAGGGCTATAAGAGTCACTCGCATTGGCAGATCATCAAATATGCAATGGCAACCCAGATACGATAGCAGCAAACATAAGTTGTGTAGTAGTTGGTTGTTCATCCCTTGTTAGTAGTTGATATTCTTCAAAGTAAAAATGAGGTCTCGCACACTAGTATAAGGTCGAAAAATGAATTCATTTTCTTGGTTAATGAAATCACCAATGTTTTTATCCTTTGAACCATCGCAACGCTTTTCTATTGTCAATAGGATTACCATCTTCATCTGTATCGTCAAATTCTAAAGGACGAAGCCCATGACGCAAATGTACTAATATCATATCGACCAACTGAGCGAATACAATCTGATATAATAGTATCAAGACGACCATACAGAGTACCAAGAAACATTGGAACCAATGGCAGCGAAATACCACGAGATAGTACTGCGGCTAAAGGAAATACCTCGCGTGTTAACCCATCCTCCGGACGTACTTAAAAAATGTACCTATCCAACCAGTAAGTAAGAAATCCTGCCAGTTCATACCGTTTGTTATACTCTGGTCCACGAACACTCTGTCGGGATCAACCACTGGAGTGATTTCCTTTCTTCACATTCTCTAAATCCTTAAAAAAATTGCGAAACCAACACGCGTCAGTCAACTTTGGTTTTGCAACTTTTGATTGTTTTTTTTAGACGATATGAGCCTTACACCAAGTGCCCTGCTTCATTGTTTCGTTCGCACATATTTCTAAATAAGTAGTAATATATATTGATCCCCTTTAGAGCTACCTAAGGTCGCAAGGGTTTGAGAGCCAAAAATTGGAAGCCGATATAGTATTGCCACGTCTTCTATTGTCGGTGAAAATTCTCCCTAAGGTGTCAAGAAAGTATGATGTACAGAAGACCAACGAGAATATAGCACATCTAAAATTTCTGGATCTCATTTAATAGATAAAATTGAGAATAGTTGTATAGCTTGCAAAATTTTTGCCTTTTTGAAAGTTACGAAATGATGATCTTTGCTTAAAATGTGTTTACACGAGAGTTTTCAATCCAAACCGAGGTAAAAAAAAAAGAAGAGTATGGACAATCACCCCGCTCGATCAGTAGACGAGGAATGGAGCCCGGAACAACTTTAACAATGTCCGACTTTTATTCCGAGCCTATTAAAAGAGGGGTTCTCTATCACATCAAGATCAAAACAATAGTGTTCAATAGAGTTCCAAAACATATCATGATCCTCAAAATAGGGTGCCCTAACGTTGACTTGAGGGATGGTTCCATCTTTAAAGGCAAGAGGTGTTCTTAACATTGACTTGAGCATCAACGATTGCTAAACACTAATGATGAATAAAAAAAATATATATAATATAAATAAATAATATAAGGAAGTAAAATAAGACTTTCGAAGCAAAAAAGGGAACAGAAAATGACATTAGAAGGGCTCACCTGTTTATAAAGAGTGATGCACTATCCTGGTAGCTGAATTGAAGCACACTTTGGAAACCAATCTATAGCGAAATGAGCAAATTCAGGCCAGTATTTATTGCATTCTGCTGCCATTAAAATGTCAAAGAATGCATGGGGGCAACTGTAGATTGGGTGCGAATGAGACTCATCCACAAGATTGGGACAGAGGATTGTATAAAGAGGAGAATCTGAAGATGATCCTTAGGTTATCAGCAAAGGTTAAAGGAATCAATGGTTGAGATACACTAAAGGTACTTTGAGGACAAAAAGATGTAAAACGGTACTTATATATATATATATTCATTAAAGAGGTTCGTGGGTTATTGTAATTGATGGGATTGGATGATGTCATTGGTACTTGAAGTTAATTGATAGCAGGAGGGGATTTAGTATAAACTTGGAAGTCCAAGCAAAGACAGATGTATAAAGGAGATTGTATATATATAACAGATATATGTATATATGATAGGACAGTTTGATGTGATGGAAGCTTTGACTTTGACAAAAGCATTAGCCTGTTGTTTTATTACTTTAGGAAAAAAAAAAGTACTGAAAGTAAAGTTAGCCTGTCTGTGTTTCATTACTTTAGTAAAAAGGTTATGGAAGGAAATTTAGTGTGCTGTCAGACTTCATCCGCACAATGGTGCGGGTAAGCTTTGTAGAATTTGTAACGACCCGAACCAAGGGTCCGGATCGTTAATCGGGTCCTTACCCGAACCCGAGGTCATCTTGGGCATTACGGTTATTTCCAATATGGAAATATAATTAATTTCAGAAGTCCAGTCCAATATATATGCATGTCCCAAAAACAGATTTAAACATGTCTCAAAAGAATATGGTTAAGGTTTTGAAAGGAACCATGAGAGAGAATGTAACGACCCGAACCTGTGCGTTCGAACCGCTAGTCGGGTCCTTACCCAAACCCGAGGTTACCTAAATATCGGTGTAACAATTTCTATCGGTGTTGTCTAATTGTTGTTATAATTGAAATTGAGAAGGATTTTTTTTTTTATTGAAAAAAATCAATACTAATTAGTTATGTATCAATTTGGATTTTCGAAAACATAATTTTAGATTTACATCCAAGAATCGTTCAATTAATTTTAGGCATTGTGTTTTGAGATACTATACAATTAAATTGTGGTTACCTAAGTCAATACCATCATATCCAGTGTCGATGTATCATTCTTATGTCATAAACATGCTCCATGAATAATTTAGGCAACATCCGAAAGCTTAGGATTAGTCATGCCAAAAGAAGGAATATGATGCGCAAAGAAGCAGCATACCGGTCGACCGAAGTGGAGCTTCGGTCATCTGAAATTACCCTGTACCGGTCGACCGAAATGGCCATATCGGTCGGCCAGTTGTGAGCTCCCAAATGTCATGGCTACTGGAATTGAAGAAAAATGCAGCCGGTCGGTATTTCGGTCGACCGAAATGGGCCTGCGAGCTGAAACTCCCTACTGATCTGCTTTGAACATGAGAATAAACAAAAGGACTACTATGGGACTTTAAATTGAAAAAATCCTGCCCAAACACATGCAAAATCATTGAATACTGCATGACTTTAAATTGAAAAAATCCTGCCCAAACACATGCAAAATCATTGAATACAGATCAAAATATCTATTTAAGCTTGATAGCAACGCGATCATGCATGATTCGTTATAATCTTTTACAAAAGAACAAAAGTTCATATAATTTACAACCCATGAAATATATTTGTTTCTACAAATTCTACCATTACAATACTATACAAGTTACACTTAGTCTTTCCAAAAAGAACATGATTCATGTTTCTAGACAAAATACAACAAAATAAGAGTTCCAATCTAGTCTACATTTGCGGTGAGTTGTCGTCCGCTACTTCTTTCCCCAAACCTGAAAAATGTTAAAATAATGGGGTGAGTATAAGCTCAGTATGAAGCGTCTAAGGCACATTTCTTACGACTCCGTGAATCCACATATGGAATAGAATGCAAGAGAACGGGATCATAAATGGAGAAACAAGTAAAATGAAATGCCATGACATGCAATGTCGCTCCCCATTCCCGAAACAATACCGACCCATGACAACTCCATCGTATCACGAGAGGAGAATTGGTTGACTATCCCCGACCACAAGGCGACTTCAAGGTGTTGTTAAAGGGCCTAGGCAACTCAACCACGCTAGGGTCTCTCCCTAGTCCCCTCTAGACCACACTAACGCCATGGACCACTAGGCGACTCCTATTTTCGCAAACATTTTTCGAAAACCATTTCCCCAAAACAATTTCATTTGTTTTTCAAAACATCTTCCCTTTTCTTTCCCCATGGAATGCATTAATACTTCATGCTTCTAAATGCCATAATTTTTACATCATCAAACCTTAACAGCATTGCATATTATAGGAGAATTTTGTCACAAGTTTATAGCATGCTTTAAGTCAACAAGATTTCAACAACTTAACATATTGAACAAAAACATATTCACTAAGGGCCTGTTTAGAAGACCAAAACGATATTGGTTTTGGTGTTTTGGTTTTGGGCCTATATCTCGTTTGGTGTGGCCTGATGTGGTATTGAATAATGTCAAAACAATACCAGATTTGGGCCAAAACCCATATCAAGTGATACCAAACACTGTAGCGGTGATATGAGGTATAAAATCAAAATTTTCTCTAAATTAGGTCATTTGTGCCTATCGTTTCTCTCTTTTCTCCCGCATGTATGAGAGGCGAGGCGATTTGGGGTGATTCATGTCTACCTTTGATATACAAAGGTTGTGCTTGCAGAAATTCGAGAGTTTGTAGATCCAACATAAAAGTAGTCGTTGTTGTACCTCTGTGTTGTCTGATTTGTCTCTGTTTTCGCGCATCTCTTTGACGCGATTTTTGGGTTTCAACTTGAACCCTAATGTTGTTGAGTCGTCGTGCGATTTATTCCTCAGTTGTGGCTATCGTACCTCTTTGTTGTCTCATTTCTCTCTGTTTTCAAGCATCTGTGTGACGCGATTTTGGGGTTTCAACTTCAACCCTTCAGTTCAGTCGTTGTGCGAGGTAGTTCGACGCTTTTGTGCAACCAAGTGTTTGAAGTCACTGCAGGTAACACCACTACCAAACCCTAACCCTAACCCTAATTACTACCAAACCCTAACCCTAATTACGACTCTATTTATTTATGTGCAAGCAGGTCTTTGTATGTATTATCGATTCTCAGATGTATATGGGATTTTTTTTAATTATGTTATAGGTATTCTGGATTGTCAGATGTATGTGGTAAATATTTAGAAATAAAAAATTTAATTTAATTAATTTTTAGAGATATGAAAATCAGAAATTAGAAACTGGAAACTGGAAATTGATGCAACTATATCAGAAATTTTTGTCACATGATCGCCCCTATCACATACCGCTTGTATAGGACTATGTCAATTTAGTTTAAAAACGTAACATATTACTTTCGTTTCAAATTAAATGTTGTCATTAAAAGTTATAATTCATATTTGACACTTAATTTGAAACCGAAGAAATATTATATATTGTTATTGTTTTTTTTATTTAATGTTATTGAGTATTGCATTATCAATTTATATATAGGCACAGCATTGTAATACATTTGTTGAATTGTAGATTAAACAGTGGTGCAACATTAATTTAAAAACAGTGGGCACAACATTGTAATAATTTTGTGTGTTGCACAATATCAGTACAAGAGTGAAAAGGCGCTACGTCTCAAGTTGACCGACCACACGTACAGATGGAAACAAACAGTGTGTCATTAATTTGATGCTTTTCCAGTCTTTGTTTTCATACTTTTGTCCCTTAGCATGTAAACCTTTTTCGGGGAAGGCCATTTCTGTGTACACTAAAAGCCACCAAAGACCAACACAAATGGTTGGATTTCCAAAATTAAGGTTGATAGGGAAATTTGTGAGCCTTTGATATAAGTTACATAACCTTGAATTTGATACTTTGATAGAGTTTTAAGATTTGAAATCATATAATTTGACAGCTGTAATATAATAATTCTCTTGTGTGTAATTTGAAGGTAGAAAATTTAAGAACAATATAGGTTTGAAATAATTACTGTATTAATTTCTTGAAATTATAAATTTAATTGAATTTTCACTTTAAATTTAAATTATATAAACAATTTACTAATGTGTTAAATTTACTTAATAATAATCAGATGGACATAAACTATGACAATGTTGACCAATGCCCATCAGGAGACATTCATTCTCTTGATGGTGAGAATGGTGAGGACGTTGTAGTTATTGAACAGGCCGATGTTGCTGTTTGGTGTGATGCCCATCAAGAGAAATTCATGCTCTTGATGGAGGATGAATTTCTCTTGTTTATTGTGATTGTCTTCTTCTTGCTCATTATCGTTGTTATTGAAAGATGAAGTTAGATAAACTTCCATCTTTTATAATATATGACATGTAATAGGTATTTAGTTAATTTTCTGTGTTTCATTTGGTATGTAATATATACTTAATTTTCTGTACTTGGATGACCTTGCTGCTGAGAACTATAAATGCTATATTTTGAATTGCGTATTAAATGGTATAAATGTGTTTGGTGTTGCACGAGGTCATTTACACTCTAAATTTGCAACTTAGCCTGAAAAAAGGTTAGATATATCTTGCTTCTACTTCAAATTACTTCATTCCATGTGTTACTTTGTTTTTGTCTAATGTTGTTCACGTGTTTGGTTTTGCACGAGGTCATTTACACTCCAAATTTGTAACATAGCTTGAAAAATGGTTAGATATATCTTGCTTCTACTTCAAATTATTTCATTCCTACCATGTGTTATTTTGTTTTTCTCTAATGTTGTTCACGTGTTTGGTTTTGCACGAGGACATTTACACTCCAAATTTGCAACATAGCCTCAAAAAAGGTTAGATATATCTTGCTTCTACTTCAAATTACTTCATTCCTACCATGTGTTATTTTGTTTTTCTCTAATGTTGTTCACGTGTTTGGTTTTGCACGAGGACATTTACACTCCAAATTTACAACATAGCCTCAAAAAAGGTTAGATATATCTTGCTTAGTACTGTTGAATTACTTCATTCCTACCATGTGTTATTTTGTTTATTTCTAATGTTGTTTGTGTGTTTGGTTTTGCATAAGGTTAGATATATCTTGTGGTTGTTGGAATACTTTAGGAGGAGAACGGGCAATTTTACTTGGATTTGTGGATTAATTTTGTGGGCGGTGTCCCTTATTGAATTGATTGAATAAATTTTGTGGGCAGTGTCCCTTGTTGAAATAATTTTGTGGGCGGTGTCCCTTGTGTTTATTGTGTTAGGTTCAAATTTGAAAATATCCATTTTTAAGGGGAAATCATGCCGGATTTTTGAAAAAAAAAAAAAAAAATGAATTTAAACTTTGATTCCGAAAAGGCATGTGGTTGATTTTTTAAACTTGAAATGGATTTTTTAAATATATAACAATAGGAAAAATGTGAAATATATAACTGTGAAACATATAACAATTTTTCAGGCTTAGTAAAATGCAGTTGTTTCGTGGTGGAGTTGAAGGACATGGCAGTAACTTGCGGGCAGTGGCACCAGTGGGATTTATAGGAAGCATTCTCTAGTTGCTGCAACTCCAGGAAGCTAGTGATCTCAAATGGAGGCCCATGCAAGTATAAAGAAGTGTGTGTATATTTTATGGAATGAATTTTAGTGAGTTCTAGATGTAGGTATATGTGAATGGTGCAACAACAATTTATTATATGTGCAACTATATATGTGAATGGTGCAACAACAATTTATTAAGTTTCTGATGTACAAAATAAACTTCTTGTTTCATGTCTAGCTTGTGATATCTAGCTTCCTTGATTGCTTGCTTCTAATAATATTCCTATTTATCATTTCTAGTTATGGTTGGAGATTGTATGAAATATCCAGAAGTTGGTTATCAAAATAAATACTCAGGAAAAGGGGAAATGGTCTCACGAGTTAATAATAAAAATATTAGCACTTTGAAAGATCTCCAGCACAAAATTTCAAACTAATCTCAGTGAAGTAAACCCATTCACAAGCTTCAATGTCCACCAAACTTAAACTCTGACCAATTCAAGAAGATCAACGTTTGGCTTTACTTCTTGTTAAATGGAACGCAAACAAAAAGAAAAAGATAAATGAAGTGCAACGATCTGCTCTTATTGAAAGATGGAAACAAAGTTAAATTTGTACTTTGCTTGTGATGAGCGCTGAAACGTGCGTATTTAAACCCTTTAAGTTGAGGCATTCTAGTACCTTTATCTATTTTACTTTACTGTTTTAGATTGATTTCGTATTATTTCCTTTTTCAGGCACTTATCTCGAAAATAAGCTAGCTCAGCCAAATAAAAGCTTAATTGAAGCAATTCTGGGATTAAACAAAGAAAGGTGCAAAGTGGAGAAAGAAGGCAGTAAATGAAGCCAAAGGTGGCAAGCAACAAAATTCGATCGATCCAAGTTCAAGGTTCGATCGATCGAACAATGATCGATCTCAGCACTTCAAGATAGATCCAAGCGTTGACCCAAAAGCATTAAGTTCCAAAAGTTCGATCGATCCAACACCATCCTTCGATCGATCGAACACTTTTGTCCTTATTCAAATGATTGATCCTATCCACAGCTGTACCACTCACTAACCGCTTTTGTCCTTTTCCCATAAATATCTCCCATAAATATCTCGGATTTATCTTTTTCCAAAAAGCTCAGCCAGTTGGATCGATCCAGCCTAAGTTCGATCGATCTCACTTACTTTCGATCGATCCAAGTTCAAGGTTCGATCGATCGAACTTCTTCCAGTGCGAAAAAGTTAAATTCTATCTCATTGAAAGTTGTCCTTTATCCAATCATTAGGGAATATTGTGTGCACGACCCCAGCTCATTTTGGGTGTCATTTTGACCTACCTATATAAGGATAAGGATTGCTTTTACATAGGGAGAAAACATTTATTTTCATATCATCTTTTGGAGAGGAAGTTGAGAGGAAGAGGAGGCTAGAGACACCATTGGAGTTCTACATCAACAAGGAGCAGATTTCAACTATGGAATTAGCCCTTGAGGGTTGGAGCATCATCACCATGAGTGGCTAGACATCCTCTTGGGGCTAGAGTTAGCCCCAAGTATGCTTTCTATATCTTAATCTTGTGTATTATTGAGGGATTAGTGTTGTAATTGATGTTTTGACACTTTGATATATATAGATCTTGTTTATTCAATGATTTATGTGGTTTAATGCTTGCAATTGGTCATTTCATTCTATCCATATGTCTATGTATGCTAGAATAGATGTTCACGTGCTTGTCTCTAAATTTTGTGTTATTGATGCATGTCTATGTGTATTGATGCTATAGATTTGGAGATTGTCAAAACATAGTGCTTAAAGGAATGCTTTTGTGATTCTCTTGATGGTTCATGCTTATCTCTTGATGGATTGTGCCTCTCCCCTAGTTTATTTTCATGCTAGTATTGTAGATGTAGTGTAGTGTTAAATGGGCGGACAATCTATGCTTGTTATTTGATGATCCAAGCTTTTGAATGCAATTAGCATATGTCTCTAACTTTGTGTTGTATTTGGATTATGAGCTTAATGAAAGGATTAATGACTTGTTTTGATTTATTGTATCTTTCACATGTTATTTAGACAATATATGTTTCCTTGCTTAGATATATTGTGCCTTTCACATGATGTTTAGACAATACATGCTTAACTAGTCATCCTTGCTTGTTGAATCAACCAAACACACACACACACATCAATATTGCAATACACCATTTGCCCTCATTATTACTTGTCAATGATATAGAAATGCATTGCTTGGTGGTAATCTTTAAACCCCAAGATCCCTCTCTCTTACTTACTCTTAATTGTATTCTTTTGCTATCACTTAGTTTAATTTAGTTGCTTTTTAATCAACCAACCAATCAATTGTTTGATCACTCGACTTACTAGCCCTAATTGTGATTCCACGACATTGCTTGATCCCCACAATCCCTTGGGACGATCACTACTCACTCTTGCTACGTTAGTAGTAGTGTTGGTAGTGGTTTTTATAAATTTAAATTTGACATAAAAAGTTTTTCTTGAACTGCACATTCACTACATCAATTTTGGCGTACAAGGAAAGGCCTTCCGCCAAAGCCGTTAAATTTTTGGCGCCGTTGCTGGGGATTAACGGTTAGATTTGGCAACGTTGGATTTGTGGAATTGATTAAGATTAGTACTCTTTTGATCGTGTCTTTACTTTATTTTTATTTTTCTTTTTGGTTACTTACTGTGTTGATTACTTAACTAGGTGCATTGTTGGAGAGGAAGCAAGCAAAGGAGCCATCAAGCATTCAATTCAAGCAAGCAAAGAAAGCAAAAAGCTAAAAATTTTAAAATTGCTAAGCTAAACTTTAAATTTGGAATTGAAGTGCTAAAGGACCTTTGTGAGATTTTCTTTTCTCAATCCCTTAGTTAAATCGTCGGCCCGCGTGGAGGCTTATTTTTAATTGTCTTGCATCATTGTTGTTAAAGTATAGGAGTATGAATTAAATGTTTGTGGAAGAAGTCTAATTGCATTCTTGTGAAGGCATAGTGTTTGTTATTCTTTGTGTTTGTTGTGTTTTGCATTGTGCATGCATGGACGTCGTTCATTGAGACCAACTCTTGTCCCTCTTGATTTATATCTAGAATATATCGTTAGAAATCTTAGGGGAAGTGGAAGTTCAAATAGAGCCAATCTTTCAATGGATGACCATAATGATAATCATGTTGAGGACTTTGGTCACATAGACCAATAAGGTATCCCTTATCCCAATGTGCACAATGAGAACATACAAGTACCATTAGGCATGCTTAGGCCATTCATTCACCAACCACTACAACAATAAGGCCAAGTTCCATATGGAATGCCAACGCCAATGTATACTCCACAACCTCCCATCAACAATCAAGGAATTCAAAACCAAGGTGTTCATGTTGTACCTCAAGTAGCTAATCCACCTCTTGCTTTAAGAGACCATTATGTGCCTAATGAGTATAATGCACCTACATGCATCCAATTGCCTCCATTTAGAGCACATCATTATGAAATTAAGCCACAAACCAGTCAAATGCTTCCTAACTATCATGGACTTCCAAGTGAAGAACCTTACAAGCATTTGGATGAGTTTCTTGAAATATGTTTCACCGTAAAATATACGGATATGCCGGAAGAGGTTTTAAGACTCAAACTTTTTCCATTCACCTTAAAAGGCAAGGCAAAGTATTGGTTTAACAATCTTAGGCCTTTTTCAATCACTTCTTGGGCAGAAATGCAACAAGAGTTCTTGAAGAAGTATTATCCGGTTTCTAAGACCAATGCCATGAGGACCTCAATTCGAGAATTTTCGCATGGGGATGGAGAAAAGTTTCATGAGGCATGGGAACGCTTCAATGAATTGCTTAGGAAGTGTCCACATCATGACATGCCTAAATGGCAATTAGTTCAATACTTCTTTGAGAGCTTACCGGACAATTATAAGGGTATGGTTGATGCTTCCATGGGTGGCTCATACATTAATAGGCATGAGGATGACGTGTGGCGTCTCTATGAGAGCATGAGTGAAAATTCTTTGCATAGAACACTATCATCCAAGAATGGTAGAAATTCACAAGGTAGGAAGAGTGTTGGCTTACATCAAGTCGACCATTCAAATGAAATAGCCGCCGAAATGAAGTCTTTATCTCAAAGGTTTGATCAATTTTTGATTAACCAAAACTCGGCGAACCAAGTATCTTCCTTCCCCAACCATTCTCATCGTGCATCAAATGAAAAATGTATGACTTGTTCTAGTGTTCTTCATTCTACTTCTCATTGTCCTCACGGACAAGTGCAAAGTGAACCTAATGAACAAGTCAATGCGGCTTTTGTGAACCAAGGGAACAATCCTTATGGTACTCATTATAATCCAAGTTGGAGGAATCATCCGAATTTCTCTTGGAAAAACCAAGGAGATGGCTCAAACCCTTTCCAAAGCGGTTTTCAAAGGAAGTACATTCCACCTCTACTTCAAAACCAAGAATCCCAAGGTTATAGACCTTATCAATCACAAGGGAATCAATTTGCTAATTCTCAATTTCCCAACCAATCTTATTCCCAAGGTAATACTAGAAGTCCCGCCTTTGAAGAGAAAGTTTTGAATGCTTTTGGCACTTTAGAGGCTAACACTCAATTGCTTCATTCTCACTCTCAATCTATTGCAAAGCTAGAAACCCAAGTAGGGCAAATAGCAAGCACTCTTAATGCAAGTGAAAAGGGAAAGATGCCTATAAATGCCCCACTTAAGCAACAATGTGTTGTGGAAACCCATTCCTCATCGGAAGGCCACACCATTGAACATGTTAATGCGGTGACTACCTTGCGGAGTTGTAGGATTGTGGACAATTAAGTTGGAATGTCCAATGAAGAGAGTGAACCGGTGCAACCTCAAGTTTTCACCCGTCCCGTTTCGCATTCCATTCCTCCTTCATTGCATATACATGATCTTGCAAATGAGAAAGTTTTAAAAGATGTGTTTGGAAAAGAAGTTTTGAAAAATGATGTTAAAAAGGTTTTATTGAAAAATGATTTGAAAACTTCTTGTGTTGAAGAGAATTCAAAAGAAAATTTTGAAAAAGTGTTTGAACCAAAGGTTTCATTTCCGGATGCCTTAAAATGATCCATTTCAAAAGACAAGCAAAAGGCAAAAACCAATGAAATCATGGAAATGTTTAGGCAAATGAAAGTTAATCTTCCACTATTGGATGCAATCAAGCAAATTCCGGCTTATGCCAAATTCTTGAAAGACTTGTGCACCCAAAAGCGGAAGAACAAGAGCCAAGCACCAAGAAAAATGGTTTTGACCGAGCAAGTAAGCTTAATTTTGCAACATAACACTCTTCTAAAGTTTAAGGACCCCGGTTCACCCACTACATCATGCATTATTGGTGATCATATCATTAATCGGGTGCTTATTGACTTAGGAGCAAGTGTTAACCTTCTTCTATACTCGGTTTATGTCAAATTGGGCTTAGGTGAATTGAAACCGACGTCGGTAGTTTTGCAACTTGCCGACCGATCCATTAAGAAGCCTAGGGGTATAATTGAGGATGTTTTAATAAAGATTGACAAATTCTTCTTCCGGGTTGATTTCATTGTCATAGACACAGAACCGGTTCCCAATCCTAAGAGCCAAATTCCCGTTATCCTTGGCCGTCCTTTCTTGGCAACCGCTAATGCCAACATCAATTGTAGGACGGGGATAATGAAGATTTCATTTGGCTACATGAAGGTGAAGTTGAATATCTTTAATCCCACACCCAATTCATTTGACAAATATGAAGGAGAAGTTAACGTTGTAGATGAATGTCATGATCTTCAATGTCAAGGAAATGAGCTTTTGTGTAAAACCAAAACTTCTAAAGGATCATCTTCAACCTTGCATTCTAAAAGTTTTGTTTCAAACTCTTCCTTTGAAAGGGCATGGAAGCCCAAAGTTTGTAATTGCATAGACAAGGGACCAAAGACTTATTTTGAGCTTAATCCAACAAGTTCTTCAAAGAACTATTTGTTGGGTAGAGTTCAAAGTATCTATCACCCCAACAAGGAAGGGATGCATTATAAGATATTTGATTCGGGCTAAAAGAGCCCAATGTCTTGCTAGAGACGTTAAAGACTAGCAAAAGTATTCGTAGGGTGTCAAAACCCTATTCCTCCCCCATTTCTATCTTTCATTTCATTTCTTGTGAAGTCTAGATACTTGTTTTTGGTTCATATGCACTTCAAGGAACTTTGGTAAGGATTGCATAAGCTTTCATGTCATTATTGAGCATTTTGCATAGTTCGATCGATCTCAAACTTGAGTTTGATCGATCGAACTCTTCTCTGCATCCAACACTTAGAAAAATTTTTGACCTGCAGAAACCTGCATCCAAATCACCTCTCTGTCCCATCGTTCGAACCAACTCCAAGATCGATCAAGAGACCTTCGATCGATCCAACTTCCAAGTTCGATTGATCTCGTGACTCAACACTTAGAAATATTTTGAGCCTGCATCAACCTACATATTTCAGCTCTCTGTCTGATCGTTCGAAACATTCCAAGATCGATCTGAAAGTTCTTCAATCGATCCAACTTCCCAGTTCAATCGATCTCATGTTCCAACACTTAGACAAATTTTTGAACCAAAAACCTGCATATTTTTGCTCTCTGTCTGATCGATCGAACTCTTGTTTCGATCGATCTCAATCTTCATTTCATTATTTTAACTTTATTTTGACTTTTCAAATTTTCAAAAATCCAAAAATATCTTCATTTTTATTTCATTTTACTTTATTTTATTTTCATTTTATTACATTTTCAAAAATCCCAAAATATCTTAATTAATTTTTAATTATTAAGTGTTTATTTAATTTAATTTTTTTTTTTTAAAAACAAACAAACTTTGAAGAGAGTTTATCAAAGTTTAATCGATCACAGTTGAGTTCGATCGATCGAACTCTGTCGGGAATGCTTTTTAAAAAAAAATAGAATCGAGGGTTCTCAAGATCGATCATTTAGATCGATCTCACCCTCTCTCAAACCCTAGACCCTCTCGTCGCCGTCACTGTGTATCATCATCTTCTTCTTCTCTGGCAAGCCCTCCGGTGTCATCAAGCTTCCCGAATCTCTCTCTCTCATCTCGGTTTCATCTCTCTCTCTTCATCTCCAATTTTCTTTTCAGTTGAGGTAAGAACCGAGATCTACTTTGAAGCTTGATTTGATTTGATGCATACATGTTCTATATATTTGATTTAGGATGCTTAGATGATCGAATCCACCATTTTTGAAGCTTCGAAGCACTGTATTTCCATATATATATATGTGTTGCTTCGTGTATATATATACTTTGCATATTTTCAGATTTTGATCTCATTTTGGGAGTTTGGGCTTTGATCAGTGATGGGGATTTGTTGATTTGTTGTGTTGATGGGCCCACGAACACGTTCGTGTGGGCCCCATGCTTCCAAGGTCACAGATCTGTGACCTTTGGGTTTCCATCGTCGCACAGTTCGATCGATCGAACTCATCTCTTCGATCTATCGAAGTAGTGAGATCGATCTCATTTACCTTCGATCGATCCAACTTTTGTGATCGATCTCATTTCTTTTTATGATTGATCGAACTTCACAGATCTCACACACACACACGTTTCATTCATCATGTCTTATGTTCATGCTATCATATCTATGCCCAATGCCTGTGATATTCCACATTGGATGCATTTCATACTTACATTGTTTAACATGTTTCATATTCTACCACTTGCATAGATTCACGTCATATTTGTTTTGTCTATTTTACTTGACATACATGATTCTATTTCGTGCTTTCAAATTTCTTATTCTGGCACTAACTCCCATTGCAAGTTTTTCTTTTTCTTTTTGCAGGTCATGGTAAAGAGGAAGACCGTTGCCAATAGGCAACACGGGCCCACCCGCCATATTAGGCCACGGACAGAGGAGCCCGCAGAGCCCTCTTATGCACAGCGGGAGCCTGCACAGGCTACCCCGCCTCAGTCACCATCTCATGAGCCTAAGGATGACCACATACCATCCACTTCTACGGCTCATCCCGCTTTCACTCCATCACTATCTCCACCATAGACTGGAGCTGAGCATTCACATATACCTCCTCAGCCAGCTCAGCCTGCTCAGCCAGCTCATCTGCAGCGTGATAGGCCCACGCCTCGATATGCACACATAACACTCGCCCATGAGTCAGAGTTTGACATGGCCTTCTTCTCTCGATCGGTGCTGACCTGATCCGCCTACCAGGATTTTATTCAGAGGGGCCTAGCCGCTATTCTTGCCCCCGTTATAGAGCCGGTCTACCCATGGCTGGTTCGGTTGTTCTACCAGAACCTCCGACCATCGCCGCGTACCACAGCCGAGATGGTCACTTCTATCGATGGCCATCTGATCACTATTATAGTGGACACTTTAGCCCGCTCTTGCCGCTGTCCACACAGATGTCCTCCAGAGCTTCAGGACACATACCCGAGGCTATTCAGGCCTTCATATGCCGACATGGCAGTTTCTCTCACAGGTCACCATGCCAGTGGCGCGACTTTCGCCACCCGGACATACCTTCCAAACGACCTATGGTTTATTGATTCTGTCCTTTACTGGAATATCTACATGGCGAGGCACAAGATTCAGAGGAGGGGCGATTATCTGACAGCCCTTTACTCTTTCTACACCAGGCACTGGGTGTCCATTCTTGCGCTTATCTAGAGCGTGATGAGGAAGCTGTATGACGAGTACATCAGCAAGGAGACGCTCGGACGGGCTAAGTCTCTTCCTTTCAGCCACCTCATCACCCAGATTCTCATTGACCAGCACTATCCCATCCATCCTCGGGAGCACCCCGATTTCAACAACTTAACATATTGAACAAAAACATATTCACTAAAGTATGCTTTTCATATCCAATCAACAAACCATAGGCACATATATCATGTACACATAACTCACATAGAAATACATATCATATACCAAGCAACATCGCAACTTTCTTAAGAATAATTTACAATTTAACATGCTACACTTAAATTATAGGGGATTCACCAAAATCTAAGAAATTGTAAATTAGAACACCCCTACCTTAAGCAAGAAGAAAGCCTCAAAATCCCCAAAATTTGAAATCCCTAAGGTTGGCCAAATGGTGATTTACTCTAATCAAAATGACGGCCTCGATGAGCTCTCCAACTTTGCTTTAAGAGGTACTATCAAATTCTCAAAGAGCTAGGCTTGATCAAGCCTTGAATTGTTGAAGAAAAGAAAAAGAAAAAAGGAAAGTGAGGATAGAGAGAGAAATTGCCAAGAGAGGGATGAAAATGAGGGCCACAAATGGCCTCTTGGCCATTAAAAAAAATCTAGTGGACTATCTTTTACGCAAAAAAACACAAAAAAATATAACCTTTTACTTTATTATATACATATATAAATACACACCGATCACTCACTACCACAAATATAGTTAACAAAATAAAACCTTCGTACACAACGACTCCGGTAGCGGGTCCTACCTAGGACCTACCAGCCCAAAAACAGGAAAAAATGCCGAAATAGCAACTAGTGCATTTCCAAGAGTCTTGAACTCAAGGAAATGTCCCACCGAACTTTTAGACACACCTGGCACACCCCACGGTGTCTGACACGTAAAACGAAAAAAGATGAAAATACCCTTAAAAAATTAAAAAAATCCCAGAAAATTAAAAAAATGGCAAAAAACAAAAACATCATAGAAAAAACTTCTTTTAACAGAGACGCAGCCTGAGCCTACTGCTCCGACCAGTCACTAGAGTCAACTACAACTGTGAGAGGAGCTTAGTGGGGTTCAGGAGATGTGGTCTCTTCCATGGTGTGTGGCAGGTGACTTTAATGTGGTTAGATCCCCGTTGGAGAGGTCTACAAGTGGATTATGGACTCCGGCTATGAGGTTTTTTTCAGAGTTTATCATTGATCGCCAGCTCATTGATCTCCCTTTAGAGGGAGCTGTTTTTACTTGGTCTAGTGGTAGGGAGATGTCTACTTTCTCCCGCCTTGATAGATTCTTGATTTCCGGAGAGTGGAAGGAGCAGTTTTCGGATGCAGTTCAGGCTGTGTTGGCTAGGGTGACGTCGGATCACATTCCTTTGGTCTTGGACTGTAGAGGTTTGAGACCTCGTCGTACCTCGTTCAGATTTGAAAATATGTAGCTTAGAGTGGCGGACTTTCAGGGTTTAGTGCAGACTTGGTGGGAGAAGGACATGGTGGTGGGTACTTCGAGTTTTATCCTTGTAGGAAAGCTTCATAATCTGAAGGATAAACTTAAAAGATGGAATAAGGAGGTTTTCGGTAATCTAGAGTGGAGGAAGAATAAGGCCCTCGTTGATATTGCAGAGTTCGATAGATTGGATGCGTCGGGAGGTCTTGCTGAGCTTCAATGTAATAAGAGAGTAGCTTGTCAGGCTGAATGTGCTGAGATTGCGGTGATGGAGGAAATCTCATGGCGGCAGAAATCTCTAGCATTGTGGCTCAAAGAAGGAGACCGTAACATTAAGTTTTTTACTGAACGGCTAATGCTTATAGGAAGGGTAATCATATTGGCCAGATTCGTGTGGATCCGCTGTTGGTTTCTGATGAGGAAGTGCGAACAGGGATTGTCTCTTTCTATCAGAGGTTATATATTGAGCCTCTTCGTTGGAGGCCAAGGCTTGATGATCTTCACTTTGATTCAATTTCTGTGGAGGATAGGGATGGGCTTGAGAGGTCATTTATGGAAGAGGAGGTTCTGGAGGCCTTGAAGAGTTGTAATAGTGATAAAGCTCCAGGCCCGGATGGTTTCATTATGAGTTTTCTTCTGGAAAGCTGGGAGGTCGTCAGACAGGAGATTATGGGTACTTTTCGTGAGTTTCATTCCATGGAAAGTTCGAAAATTCGTTGAACACTTCTTTTATTGCTTTGGATCCTTAAAAGGGGGGAGCTTCTGATATTAAGGACTTTAGACCTATTAGCTTGATTGAATGTTTGTACAAGCTTATAGCTAAAGTTCTGGCATCGAGATTGAAGGGGGTTCTGGACGGAGTCATTTCAGAGTCTCAGAATGCATTTATTTGGGGGAGACAGATTATGGATTTTTCTCTTATTGCCAGTGAATGCGTGGATTTTAGGCTTCGTAGTGGGGCTTTCAGAGTTCTGTGTAAGTTGGATATTGAGAAAGCCTATGATCGTGTTTGCTGGAATTTCTTGTTCTATTTGCTTGAGAGGATGGGTTTCGGAGAAAGATGGAGGAAATGGATTGTTACTTACGTTTCGTCCATCAGATTTTCAGTGTTGGTTAATGGCTCTCCATCCATGTTTTTTTGGCAGCTCTCGTGGTTTGAGGCAAGGGGACCCTCTTTCCCCTTTCTTGTTTATTATTGTTATAGAGGCTCTTAGTAGGCTGATGATGAGGGTTGTGACCTTGGGTCTTATTCAGGGTTTTAAGATTAGTCCAGAGGCAGTCCATCAATTGGAGATTTCTCACTTGCTGTTCGTGGATGATACTTTGGTTTTTTGTGAGGCAGAGATGTCCCCAATTGAGATATTTGAGATGTGTTCTGGTTTGTTTTCAGGCTATTTCTAGTTTGAGAATTAACGTGGGTAAGAGTGTGCTTGTCCCTGTGGGGGAGGTTCATGAGGTGGCTTTTCTTATAGCTATTCTTGGATGTAGGATGAGCTCCTTCCCTATTTCTTATTTGGGCTTGCCTGCGGGCTTCTCCTCAAGATGAGTGGGAAGTTGGGACTCGGTTATTGAATGCTTCGAGAGAAGATTGGCTGGGTAGAAAAAACAATATCTTTCGAAGGGAGGAAAAGTCACGTTGGTAAATAGTGTTTTGTCCAGTCTTCCAACTTATTTCCTTTCTCTGTTATAGATTCCCTCTTCTGTTGTTAGGAGACTTGAGATGATTCAACATAATTTCCTTTGGGGCGATAGGGGGGAGGAGTTTAAATATCATCTTATTCGGTGGAAGCATATTTGCAGGCCTTTTAAGTCGGGAGGCCTTGGGATATGGAGATTGGCCCCTTTCAACAGGGTTCTTCTGGGCAAGTGGCTTTGGAGGTTTGGTAGTGAAAGATATAGACTATGGAGGAAGATCATTGCTTGTCTGTTTGGGGAGGAGAGAGGGGGTTGGTTTGCTAGATTGGCTAGATCTGCTATCGGAGTGGGTGTGTGGCATTCCATTAGGATGGGTTGGGAGGATCTTTGGTGCGAGGAATGTACATTGTGTAGACGGTTTCCAAGGTTGTTCAGGATTAGTGTGGATAGTCATGCTTTGGTTGCAGATTGTTATCGCCTTGATAGCTGTAGGTTGTCTTGGGATGTTCAGTTCCAGCGAGCCTTTCAGGATTGGGAGCTGGATGATGTCTTTGGCTTGCTGGATCTTTTGTATCGACAGGAGGTGGATGGTACTGGGGCGGACCTATTGACTTGGGTACCTTCTTCGCAGGGGACTTTTTAGGTCCGGTCTTTCTTCTTCTGTCTTTCCAGTTTTCAGGCCTCCTCTTACCTGTGGAAAACGGTTTGGCATTCGAAGGCTCCTCTTAGGGTGGATTTTTTTACTTGGACTGCTGCTTGGGGTATCTTGACTCTGGACAATTTGAGGAAGAGAAGACATATCATTGTTAATTAATGTTGTTTGTGTATGACTGATGGAGAGTTTGTGGACCACCTTTTCTTGCACAGCCCAGTGGCCCATGACTATTGGAGCCTTATGTTGGGTCTTTTTGGCATCCAGTAGGTTATGCCTCAAACCTCACGGGGTCCTATTGACATTTGGAGGGGACAAAGGGTGGGGGCTCGTGTTCGCGATTTCTGGAAGGCGACTCCTTTTTGCATTTGGTGGTGCCTCTGGAAAGAACGTAATAGAAGATCATTTGTTGGGGAGGAGTTACCCATTGGGGCTTTAAAGTACTTTATTATTTGTTCTCTTTTTTGTTGGGGTATGGGGAGAGATTGTTCTTCTGTTGAGGAGATCCTGGACTTTTTGGGGTCTTTGGGCCATTGGTATTCTCTTTTCTCTTATTTTGTTCTTGTACAGCTCTTGGGACGCGTTCCCCTTTTCAACGCTTTCTAATACATCTTTACTTATCAAATATATATATATATATATATATATATATATATATATATATATATATATGGTTCCATTTTCGAAGTTACAACTATGAGGCCATTATATAAAATTTGCCGAAACTTTACAAAATGTACATCCTACTAATACAAGATTGCAAAAGAAATCCTTTATAGTCCCGTCTACACCCGTGTAGGATTAACATCCATCAACTCTTTCCCGTAGCCTGAAAAATGTAGAGGAGTGAGCATAACGGCTCAGTAAAGATTGCCAAAGTGGCATCTCCTCAAATAAAGTAAGTAATCACATGCCTTTCAAATAATGAATAGGAAAAAGAGTAAGGGATCATGCAAGGGATTCACAAACAACAATTCTGTTTTCCAAATAATCATTATACCATCCAATGTAAGATAATGCTTAAAATGCCCAATGCAACCCTACTTCACACCTTACGCCTTCATATGTTCGCACATCACATCCACACCCTTGTATCCACACACCATAGTCACACCCTCGTATCCACACACCATAATCACACCCTCGTGTATCCACACATCACATCCACTGTAACCACCCGGTCATTTGCCTCCCTTTCCCTTTTCTTGAAATTTTATAAATGAATTTTTTTCGTTTAATTTTCTTTTCTGAGCTCTGTTTCGTGTCGCTTAATGTCATCTCAAGTGCTCGGAATTGGTTTCTGAGTCTCTTTCATGTGAATTAACAACTTCTTTTGAGGATCGAGTCATTTTCGCATTTTCACTTTTCGGACACTATGCGCTTTTCGTCCTTTTCCCTGTTTTGTCTTTTTCCCTATTCTGTCTTTTTCCCGTTTGTCACATTGTTGGCACAACCTCACTTCTCATGCTCGGAGTTGGTTTTTGACTTCACGTGCCTTCATCTTGAGTGGTTTCCTTGAAATACGTATCTTTACTTTTGCAAGAAAGTACTCTGGTTGCTCCCGGTGTCCATAGGGGCATGGATGCACAATTCTTTAGAATCTTTTTCATTTATTGGGGTGTTTTTCATAAATATCTTTTGAAGAAATTTTATTTTAGGGGTATCTAAGAAAATATCTTTTGGAAGATATTTTTATTTCTGGGGCAATTTCGCAGTTAACCCTTTTTGTAGGGGCCATTGTGCAATTAACGAAAGTTATTGCAAAATGCCTCGTCTGGAGCCTGGATCCTCGTACAGGATTCATTTTCACATTTCGTTGAGTTATGGACTTTTGAAATTTCCTTCTGGTCATATTTCCCCAGTTTCAGAGTTTCTGAACCCGGTTGCCGCTGAACTTGTTTGGGGCATAACTTTCTACTCGGAACTCGGTTTTCGACGCTATTTCTTTCGTTATTCATATTTTTTCATTCTGAATCTTTTTCGTTCACAAAGTTTGCCATTTGAGCGCGTTTGCTCAAATTTCACTTTTCCGGACCCGGCGGGGCCCGTTTGGGGCACTTTTTAAGGTTTCTTTAAAAGGGGGGTGAAATATTTCATTTTTCATCTTCCCCACTCTCCTTGCACGACCTGAAGCAGCCATGGATGCCCATGGAGCTTCCACCTTCTCTTTCCTCCTTTGATTTACTTTTCCTAAGTGAAAAGTCTTCGGCCGTCACGGTTTTTGTTCCCCTCGACGTGTTCTACCATTCCCCCTTATTGGAACCCATTTCTAACCAAATTTTAAGTTTGAAGTCAAGTTGTGATTTTCCTGGGGCTTCCTTCGGATTGATGTAGATCGTGTTGTCACCGACAAAACTTAGGAGTTTCGGCGGATTCGGAACACTTTTTTTTCGGTGGGCTTTTGAGATTTTCATCTCAAATTGAGGTAGGGGATGTTCTAGGTTGCTTTCTTGTTATATGGCATGCTTGTGATGCATATGCTACTTGTTTACATGCTTGGATATTAAATCTAGAGATTTTAATTGTTTATTTTCTAACATGTGATTTGATTTTTCCGGTTGCCTATAGCCTTGTTTAAACATGTGGCATGATAGAATATTACCCCTTGGTATGTTGTTTAACATATATTAAATTGAGAGAAATTGGACAAGTAAAGAAGTTTTATTCAATATTTTACTAGAATAAAATATTAAATCATGTGGCCTTAACTAGCTTGAAATTAATATGTGTTAGCATATTATATTAGGTCTTAGCATATTTTTCAACATAGTTGAATTTGAAAGTAATTGGAGGTATTTTAAAAATTAGTAATTATTAATTAATTTGATTAATTAATTTGCCCCGAGTGCACTATTCACTCTATTTAAATTTTGACTTGATATTCTTGACTTACATGCCATATAACTTCACGTATATTTGATTTAGAATATTCGGTTAGGTTTTGAAACCTTTCATTTAATTAATTTCCTTGTTTAAGATTTAATCCTCATGGTGATATACAGTTTGGAATTGAATTGTGGTATGCTAGAAAATTAGACTTTGGTATGGTTGTTCACGTATATTAAATTGGGATTAATTGCATGAGAATTGCAACTTTTATTTTATATTTAACTTTAGTGAAAGTTTAATTCACATGGTCGTAAATTGAATGAAATAAACTTGGAATGTGATATTACATTAGTCCTTGGCATGTTCTCTAAGATATGTTAAATTTAGAGCATTTGGTTAAGTTTGACAATCTAGAAATTTTAATTAAAAGAATTAATTAAAATCTATTTTGTGGTCTCATTAGCTTAATTAAGATTTTAACTTGATATTTGTATTGGCCATGACATGTTTACTAATATATATTAATTGTGGACCATTTGAAGTTGCTTTAGAACCTTGGTAATTAAATTAGCATAATTTAATTAGAGTTCTACTTTGTTGTTTCAATAACCTAATTGAGTTTTAGAATGGATATAGGTGATGACCATGCCATGTTCTTTAATATGTATTAATTTGAGATTATTTGGAATTGAATTAGAATTTAGGGAATTTAATTATTTTTATTTAATTAAATTCTATCTAATTGAGCCATAGATTTAATTGTGTTTGAAAGTTGTTTCTATATCAAAATCCTGGACATGGACTTGTTGTATATTCATTTGGTTATGTTTGAGCATTGGATAACATAGTTGCTATGTTTATACTCCTGAGAATATGTTTTCCTTATTGAATATATTGTTGCCTTGTGTAATGATTTGCACACTTCGTATTTAACATCTTTCATGTATAGCGTGTAACGAATCGCACACTGAAGATTCGACATTCATCATATCATATTAGTTGTGGATTTAGAGCATGTATTGTATAGGTTTCTAAATTTGGTTGTGCTTGGTAGATAGTTGATTATCTTGCATATTCCTGTTGATATATGCGTTGTTGCACAACTTGTTGATTTTGGAAACTTGGGGATGTCGTTGTTTGACTATGGCTAGGACGTGGTTCCAGTACGGGGGATAGTCCCTCTATGTAGTCTAGTGCGCACATAGGGAGGTTACCTATGGGCTAATAACCCTAAAGTAACTATGTTATTGGTCTGATCCGACGTGACGTCCGAGTATCCACTTTATTTGATTTCACATTTCATTTTCAAGTTGATAACTAGATGATGTTGTAACTTGTTGTTCCTTATTTGTCGTTCCATTTTAAGTTACATGATGTTAACTTTGCAAAATTGTGCTTTATGTGTTATATTGGAAGTTCCAATGTTGGTTAAATTGCATCAATATTGAAAATTGTGTTCTGACGTTCTAACAAAGCTTAGGATTGATCCTATTGATTCATTTAGAACTTAGACGTTAGGTGGCATGAACCACTACTGTTATTTTGTGCTTTAGATTTTAAGTCGATGGCTTTGAGAACTTATACCTTGTTGCATTGTATAACATGCTCTTTTGTTGTTGAATTGCAAGGATAATGTGATTCTTGTTAACTTGTATTCAAATATGCTTTTGTCATGTTGTATGGATTACTCTAGACCTAGTTCAATTGTATTGAAAATGCAATTCATGTTAATCTATGCTCAAACATTCTTCTTGTCGTGTTCTTTGGATTATCCCAACCATGATTTGTTTCATACACGTATGTTTATCATAATTCTTGTTGCTTAGATTCTAAGGTAGCTTAGGATGCTCCCTGAGTCTCACTTGGACATAGACGTTAGGTGGCATGAGTCCCTTTAATATGTTTCACCTTAAGGTGATAAAATTGTAAAATGCTAGGTCGATGCATGCTCATTTCCTACGAGTAACTTTATGTTACTCATCCACGTAGTGGGGACATTTTTCAGCTATGAAGACTTGGTTCATGGTGCTCATTGCTCCTTGGATGGCTTATAGTTTTTAAGTTTCCATTTTATGCAAGTGTTAGCATAAAATGCCTCTTTGTAACCTTATGTATCAAAATATGTATTATTTGATTCCATATACGTAGTGTGTACATGAGTA